GTTGCAGTGCACCTTTCTGTCATCAAAAATTTGATAAACCGTGAAAATCAACATTCCTGAAACCTGTGCCGAAGAAACCAATGCAGCCAGCTGCATTCGAGTTTTTGTGTCCTTTTCAGTCTTGCCGATTAAGAGCACTAATTCGCAAAACACTTTATCATAATATAGTCAATCCTGCAAGAGTCATCGAAGATCCAATAATTAAGGGCCTGTGGACGGGACCACCACCAGCAGCAAGTCGGGCTGATGAGGAGGCGCAAATGTTAAAACAATACATGCGTGAAAAAAAAAAAGGAAGTGTCGATAACTGCAATGGGACTTGAGCCACTGACCTCACCAGTTGTTGTGTTACTTTAACCAACTACGCCACAACTGCCGATCAGTTTGAGATGGCAAACAAGCCGGTTATGTATTGTTGTCACGCTAAACCTGACTAGCATTTTTGTTCACTCTTTCATTTGGACGTAATTTTAACTGCTTTTATCGTCATGTCTAGACGTACCGCTAGACACTCCCGACTATTCAAAACGCTTAACCGGAAAATGCATGACCTCACTTCCGTGCGGCGCAGCAGCCGCTTCTGTGTTGGGGTGGCTCGTACGCCGCGCGGCACAGCAGCCTCTGCCAAAATATATATACATATATATCTATACGTACATAGGCAAATGTTGAATATAATAGGAAATGCAGTTCAACTTATGAACATGTAAGCAAAATACATACTAGAAAAGTATGTATGATTTCTAGTCATAGACACTTGAAAATTTTGTTATTAATATAGTTTTTCATGGATATTTCAAATATACAATCACTTTTTGTGTAGCTGTTATAGTTAAGTTACGCCATGTACAATAGCAAAAAGTTACATGTTTTGCGGGTACTCTTTTATGTACTTAACTTTCAGTAAAAGCATTGTCTCTGATCTTATTTGACGCTTGGTAGATTGTAAAGTGCAAATATCTATCCAGATATGTCACAGAAATATTGGAACCAAGGAAAAAAAAATCGTATTGGATGACTAATATTTTCAATCTCCTTTGAAACAATAACCTAATATTTCCACTACTAATCCTGATAGACATTGCAATTTCAAGTATATATTTGCATTCTGCATGTGTTGAATATGCATGCAAGTTTCGTTATTATACAATAAGTATAAGTGTCTAAAAGGCTGCCGGAAAATGGGAAATTGTCAAAAAAGAAATGAAAATGAGAAAAAGAAGTTTAAAAGTTTGGAAAGTTGGCATTTATTAGGAAGCCATATTTTTTTGCATCAGATGGGACACAATGGAAAGCATCTTGCACTGAATGCTCGGAAGACTGAGAATCGCACAGAATTGTGAAAGTTGGTCATGGCCTGTGCCTATAGCGCGTGCTGCCAGAACTGCCTTCAACGTTTACAGCAAAGCTATCACGCGAACTGCCGCTGTCGAAACGAGTGCTCGTCCCTTGGTCCCTGGCCGAAGTAGTACGCCGCGACGCGTGCGTGAATGAAAGTGTAGATTCAGGGCAATCAGTATTTTCACAGCACAATTCGAGGAATGCCGAAAGCCCTTTGCGCTTTCCAGCTACCTTGGACGCCGAGTTCACGTTCGCGGCATGTTGGGCATAGCGCACCTGTCACGAGGGCAGTCAGCGCATCGATTTCGCAAAGCAGCGTGTTGGCAGTAGCAGCGCCTTCTGGTCTATGTTCACTCTCGAATCCGCTTTTCATTCAGGATGCACTGACGAATTCCAGGGCAGCAGCTTTTTCACAACCACTGTCGCCGCGGGGTTCGTTGTCAGTTAGGCCTATCCGAAGTCTGGGCATTGGTCGGCGGTGACATCGGCGTTCGCTGTCGCTTTGGGAAGCGTCCGACGCCGTTTCCCCCGATACTTGGGGAGAGTTCTGAACTTTCGATTATCTAGACTGCGCTTTTCGGGGCTTGCCATGACGCAAAACTGCAGAGAGAGAGAGAGAAACAACTTTATTTAAGTGAAAAAAATTCACAGAGAAATGACGATCAGGTCGTGCCTGGCCGCCACCTCCTCAGCTCGCTGTATGGCCCGGAGCTGTAATTCTAGGACAGTGTACTAGAAGGGAAAGTGTGCCATGTGGCGCCAGAAAGAGGGTCCCTCTAGCGATTATGGCTCCGCGTGCAATTAGAGGGCGCTGCTGGCTAAAGGAGCGCTATGTTCGCTGCCGTGATGGCTGTGTGAGCGGGCTGTGTGGCCGATTTGTGTTTTGTTCCGAGTTGTCGTCTTGGCATTTTATGCAATAAATGCCACCTAATTGTGAAATTCATCTCTTCGGCGTAGGCACTAGCCGTTCTCTCGCTATAACAAGCGTACACAAAAGCACTCGACTACAATTCGGTGAGATCGTTTACTGCAGCCGAACTTGTTTCTTCTTGAAGTTAATAAATTTTATATAGTAGTGATGTACTTTCAAATAATATTAAGTGAATTTCAACGTATGAACCTAAAGAGCCTGAGTATCTATTTTTTGCATAAAAGTGTCTGTGTTCGTTCCTCAGTGATTTATATCTGTTACATTGCTTCGCATTGCTTCGCATTCGCATAGTAAATGGTCGGGAAGCGTCCATGGAAGGCCTCTAATTCTTTCAGCTACTGCTTCTTCAGATAACTGCTCATATTTTGCTTTTTGGCTCAAGCTAATTTTTGCCCTGCTAAGCTTGGGTTTCGTTCTCCGAAGATTATGCCGTATATTGCAAGGACTTTGTTTGGTAAACATCTTCTGACATCGTCTTCTGGAAAGCTGGTTGAGTATCAGCTCTCTCTGATATTTGCAGTGAACACAAGCACTGAGGTCGTTTACTACAAGCGTGCAGTTCTTCGAGGAGAACACCCCATTAAACGATGGGCATTTACTAGCTAAAGGCTTCATTCCCACGCCGGGACACAAAGTCAATTTGCTCACATTGTTTATCAGCAACTCTGCCTCTTCTCGTGCTACAAGTTCCTCTTGGCGCCACTTCTTTCCTAGGCTTGCAACCCAGCACCTCCACCAGTGTTGCGGTTCAACGTAAGTACTTCACTGAGACGTTGAGTTCGAGAACCGACGGCGTGCGTTTTTATGCAGGAGCCAAGAGCAGGAGAGCTAAGCAATAGCACGTCGTCTTCTTCAGTGTCCCTTTTTACGAGGCTGTTGGCGCGCCTATCGTCTTCGTTCTTTGTTTCGGGTGCGGCAATATTTTCAGAAGTGAAAGATTATATAGTCCGAGGATGACAATACAACCGAAAAGAAAAAAGAGCAAAAATTTTCCGGAAAACCGTGACTTTTAGACCCGCATCTCCCTTTAAGACGAATCAAGAGTTCGATCAATCTAAGGAACAAGCAGGATTTTGTAAAGGCTTTTCCACAATAGACTATATTTGTACCTTGAATCAGGTGTTAGTGAAATGCGCAGAATACAACCAACCTCTATACATAGAAATTTATGTAGCGCGAGGCGAAAAAACGAACACAGGAAAGAATAGTGTACACTTGTGGACACTAGCTAAGTGTACACCGGACAAGTGTACTAAGCTAGTGTACACTTGTCCAGTGGCTCGCTGCAAAGCATGCATTTGCACTTGAAACTGATGTGTTCAACTTGCTTTCTTGTATATTAACTGCGTGTGCCACTCACACCCCGAGACCTGCAGTAAGCTTGGCATCAAAACGTCTGTGCAGTTCTCGCTTTGATACCACACTGTTCTTCACGACGTCTTCATGATGTCTGACCCGTTTCAAGTTCCGCATACTCCACCCGCTTTGAATTGCGCGCACTTCATCACTAGATGGCGTACACGCATGTTATGCTTATATAAGTGTTCTTTTCGCAATAAAAATTTTCAGTTGCTAATAATTGCTCATCCTGTGTACTTTCTGGGTGTTTGTACTTTCTGGTACCTGTTTCATCATGAACTTATACGAACATGCCCAATTGACAGTCATCTTAAATGTAAATTTTCTTTTGGTTAACCTCTTGGCCTTTCACTCAACCTTATTTTCTCTCTATGCAGTAGACTCTCGGTAAGCAGAAATATGTTAAATGGAACTGCTGCTAAAATGGAACTAGTGCATCCGACAGGATTGGTTTCGTTCCAGCATTCTGCACCCGTGGTCATTTCTCAATAAATGAAACTTCTGGTAAATGGACCCTATTTTCTGGGTTCCTCCTTCAGGTTCCATTAATCGAGAGCCTACTGTACTAATATCCTTTTATAGATGATCACGCTACCTGGAGCAATGCAGAACACTTTAAACACAATATTCAAGCCATGACTTTGTCTGAACTCTTATGAGTACCCTGGTGCTCTTATTGTACTTGAAAAACCACATTGCTTTCCAAACACAGCATCTACTATTGTGTATACAATAAAAATTTATGAAGGAGACATGAAAAACAGTAGGGAGCAATTGATAAGCCACGCACGATGCAAAACTGTTGCAGCCCTGCTTGCCATAAATGCTCCATGCTAGAATGTTCTGTTGGGCTAGTTGGTTCATTCTGACAAAAAGCGAAGGAAGGGGACAGGATAGAGTGTCAACTTGCAACTGAGCTCCCTTTTTTAGCTATTTTTACAAATAAAGTCAGTTGCGAGTTGACCATCTATCCTGTCTCTTTCCTTTCTTTCCCCTCTGCGTGGGTTGTGTTCTTCGCTCTTAGTCTGGCGCCATGCTGTAGCAATAGGTGATGCTGCAATAGGTAAGTATCTCAGGCAGTCATCGTAAAAGGAGCGACATTTTTGACTCTAATGTACATGCCCGATCAAAAAAAAAAAAAAGACAGTATGCATTGGACATTGCCTGCGTGCGCACAGATTGTCAACTCAGTGTTACAAGAGCGCTTAAACTGGAGTTTTCCGTTCAATCCAGTTGCATTTTTCACTTTTCTTTATATATTGGATTGTGTCAAGAAGCTCGATTAAAAGTGATGAAAATTAGAAGAAAAAAATCTTGTGCTACAACCGAGTGCACGAGGCTCATTTTTTCTACCTTTTTGGGATTTCAGAAAGAAGAGTGCACACGCAAGATACGAGAACTCGGTTCATTACCTGCAGATGCATTTGAGAAGTATCAGAATCTAAGCCTAAAACAGGTGAGTCATCAAATTTTTTGTGATCTCTTTAACTCTATCGGTACCGCGCGAAAATGGTTATTTTTCATATGTCTTGAGTAGATGGTTTTTGCTAATTTGAAATGTACCGCAGCATGTATTGCAACATTCAAAATTTCACGCAATGAAACGCTTTTTTCAAAATATATATGCTGTAAAGCAACAAAAATATTTTTGAGGGAATAAAAAAGAGGAAAGGGCAATTTTTAGTTGCCGGCTGGTAAACAGTGCAACAAAGAAGTATATATGCAAAAATATTCAACACAAATAAAATTCAGAATATACATAAGAAGAAAAATGACCCAAGAATAGTATAAAAAATAATAAATATTGCACAAATTGTTTCTATTCATATAGACAAAACAAATCGGAACCGAGGTGCTTCTTCATAGCTGTGCCATGTGCTAAAGCATTGCTTGGTTTTTCGCGAGACACAAGTGAACTCGAACACTTTTCTCAGTAATTTTTTTTTTTTTCGATTAGAGCTTTCAGGTGTTCGTATGCCCAAAATGTGAATAATCCCTTTATAGATGACATGTACCATGAACTTCGCTATTTCTTCAAGCGCCACTTTTTTCCACGAGCCACCTCATTCTGCATAAGTTGACATTCTAATACATGTATTCAAGCCTAGTTCTTTGCATCTTGGACATCCTATTGAAAGGAAAAACAATATCACGCCCAGTTCTAAAACTTTTCGCGCTGATCTGTAGTAAGGGCCACAGTGTTAGAAGTATTTTAGGAGGACCTAGAGCGCCTACGGAAGCGGAGAACTTCAGTCTCCGCTTTGCAGAGAGGACCAGAGATGGCGCCACAATGACCGTGCCTCAGGCACAGGTCGCTTCGGGGCCGCAAAGGAACTTGGGGCGGGGGGGGGGGGGGGAATAACAGCTAGTGCCTTTGTTTGATAACGAGTGCAAAAGTAAATAAATTAATAAAAGTGGTGAGCAATGACTACATTTTGACGATACAGCGTAGCTAGCCGTGGAAAATGTTTAATTCATCGCATTGAATGCTTGCAATAGGAGCACGTGTTTTCGCATGCAAAAACATCAGATCATGAATTCGAACATGTGACAGTAAAGTTCCGTGTAATTATGACAAAAGTTAGTTCTTGGTTGAAATAATGTTTATGTGGTGCAGTCAACTGCCGATTTTTTGGACATCTTCGCGGCACCGTCACGAGCCCTATAGAATCAATGTATAAGGAAGTCTGAAATTTCGAACACTCGCACCCCCTGGAGTCCAATTTTCCTAACTTTTTTGACGCGACGGAAGGTCGGAAACCACCACTGATCTCCAGTGGTGGTTTCCACCACAACTGCGTCGCATGCGATTACGATCGCATAAATGAGCGCGCTGGTCTACTGTGGCGGCATCTGTTGCTTGGGCTCGTTGATCGTTAGCGGAGAAACACACAGGGCCTCCGAGATTCCTAACATTGGCTGTGTTTATCATGCAAGGGTGCTTCGCTGCCAATCGAAACTATCCACCTGAAAATTTTTTGGCGCCAATAAAGTTACTTTCGCTTTACCGCTTCTGCTCGTGCGTGCCACTCTGGCTTTCCGCGCAGCGCTTTCGCAAAGCGTTTCACCACTTCGAACTAGAACTAATCGTCACACACCGATTTGGTCTGGCCACACTGGCTATCTTGAATGTTTACCAGCGCCACCTCCAGAGTACCCGAGGCACCGTCGCCTGCCGTCGCGCCGTTTTTTTTACGCAGCCCACATGGTGTTTGGCTAGCCTAGTGCGTCGTTGTGAGATCATGTGTAGTGTGCTCTGAAACGCTAAGCCTAGGTGCTTCGACGCTCGTCAGCAAACTCCTTTCAGCAAACTCCACATCGTGAAAATTTCGCTTGCCTGCGATGGCCCCCACTCCGCCTTCGTCGTCCTCGCCGATGGCATCGAAGCACGGAAAATAGTACCAAGGGGTAATGATGGAGAAGAAAGCCGCCATTATTAAGTTAGTGAAGAGTGGCCGATCGCAGGCTGACGTGAGCAAGGAGTTCGGCATTTCCAAGCAAACAGTTTCAGATTTCCTGAGGAACAAAGACAAGGTTTTGGAAGCGGCAGAAAAACCGCCTGGTGCCCAAAAGATGAATGCAAGCCAAGCTGTTCATCCAAAGCTTGAGGACGCTTTCGTCGTGTGGCATAATTCAATGATTGCCAAGCAGTTGCCAGTCTCGGGCTGCATCTTGAAACAAAAAGCGGAAACTCTCGCGCTTCGAATGGACATCACGGATTTTAAGTTCAGTGATGGATGGCTGAGAAACTTAAAGCATCTGAATGACCTCAAGTTCAAGAAGATGTGTGGCGAAAGCGGCGCCGTCGACAGTGCAGTTATTGCGCAGTACCGCAGTGGAAAACTCCAGTGTTTGTTGCAACAGTTTTCTGCTGACAAAATTTTTGTAACTGCGACGAAACTGGCTTGTTTTACAAGCTGCTGCCGGAAAGAACACTCGCTTTTGCTGGCGACGCATGCCATGGTGGCAAGCATAGCAAAGAACGGCTGACCGTTCTTGTCGGCAGCAACATGTCTGGCAGCGATAAACTTCCTTTGTTAGTAATCGGGAAGTGCAAGAGCCTGAGGTGTTTTAAAGGGGCAACGCTGCCAGTGTTATACAAAGCCAACAGAAAGGCATGGGTAACGCAGCCGTTGTTTGAGAGTTACGTCCGCAGGTTGGACAGGAAGTTTGAACAATAGAACAGACGTGTTCTGCTCTTCATTGACAACTGCGCTGCTCATGATCACATCAATAACTTGAAGGCTATCCAGCTGGAATTCATGCCGCCCAACACGACTGCGATCCTCCAACTGATGGACCAAGGCGTTATCGTAATCTTAAACTTTTGTACTGTTCACGTATACTCAACCGCATGGTGCTGTGCTGAGAAAACGGGAAAGGCTACAACGTTGACCTTCGGTCTGCTGTCGGAATGCTTGCGGACGCACGGAAGGCAGTAACGCAAGACACGCTTCGCAACTGCTTTCGTCACGCAGGCTTGGTACTCGACACTGAGGCAGCAGACTTGCCCCAAGAAAGCAACAGCGTGACTGACCTGTGCCCTCTCATGGACGATATCAACGACCTCCGCTCTGCTGCTGCTTCCATGCCCACGGAAATAACTTTTGAGAGGTTTGTGGACGCTGACAACGAGCTCGACTTCTGCGCAGAGCTAACCGACGACGAAATAGTCAGTCAGGTTATGGCGGATTCAGACGACTCCGATGTCGAAAAAGAGGAACCAACGCCTGCGCCACCTACAACCGCCGAATTGATGCGAGCATTGATGACGCTGACATCGGTATACAGTGATGACATGACCCTTGCTCAGATTGAGGCGAATGTGATCACATGCAAGCGGAACGTCGTTCAAACAAAAATCAACAAGTTTTTCAAGCCACTGCAGCTCTAATACCGGCTGCCCTGACGGCACCCGCTGTCGGCTGCATGCATTTTTTTAACGGCTCTTTTCAGAACCACTGACCCGCAGGGCGCGGGTTCGAATCCCGGCTGTGGCGGCTGCATTTCCGATGGAGGCGGAAATGTTGTAGGCCCGTGTGCTCAAATTTGGGTGCACGTTAAAGAACCCCAGGTGGTCTAAATTTCCGGAGCCCTCCACTACGGCGTCTCTCATAATCATATAGTGGTTTTGGGACGTTAAACCCCACATATCAATCAATCTTTTCAGAACCACCCCACTGATGCTTTGGCAGAGTTCCAGAAGTCTGGTACTTCGACCGTTACCCTCTTGATCTGAGAAATATCAATGAAATGGTCTGTTTTTTGCTTGCATTGAAAAAGAAATATCAGCAAAATGGTGCATTTTTTGTTGCTTGTATTAATTTTTTCGGACGGTTTTTTCCTCCCTAGAGGGTCCGAAAAATCGGCAGTTGACTGTAGTTATACAAAAATAACTTGATAGTCGAAGTCTTGCAGTATAAAAACGTAATTTTGATTTTCATCACGGCGGTCGCATTTTGATGAAGCTGGCCTGAGTGCTGTGCAATGAGAAGGGTATGAACTTGAGCTTTTTGGTACATAATTAAAATAAAAAACAACACGAAAAAAACAAAGACGAGACAAACGAAACATCATTCACCAATGCCAGCGCACGTTACAGAAGACCACATTGTCGAAAATTCCGGAGCCTTTCAGTACGGCGTGCTTCATATTCATATCGTGGTTTCAGCTTATAAAACCGCAGTTATTTTCACTGTTAGCAAGCGTAGTTCTCACTCGGAAAGAGGAAAGCGGCAGATGTAGGTCTATAGAGATTTTTCAAAGCAAAGGAGCAACTGTTAACTCAAAAACGGCACGTTTTATTACAGCAATGTATAGAGATCCATTCATATCTAAACAGCCACAAACAGAAAAGGAAAGCAGTATTAAAGACACGTGTGAAAAACGAAGTAGCAACTTACTGGACTAGTTTCGAAAACTTGCGCAATTTTTTAGACTTGTTCGTCTCATTCTTTTTCATTTGTTTGTAATATTTGTGCATACGCACTCCTTCATAATAGTAGAGCACTTGTGCTATCATGTCTACTTTATGTTCTTTACATGGAAATGAGAGGTTGTAGTTATCTACCACAAAGTCAATAGTGAAATCATACACTTCCTTATCGCCGGCGTGCTTCTGAAATTTTTCGCTCAGCTTCTTTAAAAAAATCTAGTAGCGTGGCATTACGGTGCTTAAGGCTTCCTCTTGTCTTCAAAACTACAAGAGCTGATGCAGCTCTTGACATATCAGATGTCCCAGTCAGTCCAAGCTTGCACTTAAAACAATTTGTATTTTTTCCTCTTGTCTTCAAAACTACAAGTTGATGCAGCTCTTGACATATCAGATGTCCCAGTCTTCAAAACTACAAGTTGATGCAGCTCTTGACATATCAGATGTCCCAGTCAGTACAAGCTTGCACTTGAAACAATTTGTATTTTTTAGGAGTTTTCGGCAAAGAAACTCGCATACATAAT